GAAGTGCGCATGTTAATCACGGTACGCTGAAAGGAAAAAAAATGTTTACGTGTATGAGATTGCTCTCAATCACAGCGTCAGCTTTGTGAACATTCCATGGATTCATATTGCTCTTTTTATCATTATAATGTTGAATTGAATAATGCTCATGCATAGTGAAAACCTCGACTACAAAATGTCACAACCATCGAAGGTGTTGGAGGTTTGAATCATCGAACATTTCCATGCTTTCTGTTCTTTGTCACTGTCCGAAAATAAGCCTGAGACTATTCATATCAGCATTTTAACCCATTGCAGCAAGAAAATTCCCAGGCTGTCGATCACTGTTGCATTCGTGGCTCCTAGTTTCCATCAAACGACGAAACAAACCTTCTCCCGGTAGATCTACTGGCAAAGTGCCATGTAGGGCTTGACAACGGTCTTGCATGGCACGGTACGAAGAGCTTCCTTGTCAAGATGCGCCACTGCCATGTTGCTGTTATCTGTAACTCAACCTTGCACAGGCCGTGAGCGTGTGTAAGGCATGAAACTCAGGAGGAAAGAAATTTTCGGAGGAGAGCAGAGAGATCCAGAAGCGTTGTGACTGAGGGAGCTGAAGAATGGAGAGCGAAGAGTACAACTTGCAAGGGCAGGCAAGGCCCGAGGGAGGAGGGGCAGCTCAGGGGGAAGCGTGGAAGGGGAGGGAAGGCGTGTGCCCCGGCTTCAAAATTTAAAAAGCCATTAATAAACAGAATTTGGACATGACCCTGAAATATTACTAATTAGATTTCAGGAATAGCTGAAAATCGTCGTATGACCCCCCTTTCCGCACCCACTACCCTCCAGACTACAACTTCCACAAAAGACCCCAGAATTGAATGCACGCCGCATCCGACCCCGCGCCGCGCACGGGGGTCGGGGCACTGCACTGCCGCACCGGGGCCCCCGCCGGGGCGAGTCACGGGCCGCCGGGGCGCAAGTCACGGGCCCGGGGCGCAGTGCGGCAGCCGCGCGACTCCTTCCAGTTCCGACTCGTGACTGCCGGGGTCACCAGTGGGCCCCCCGGCCCGCCCGGCGCCGCTGACTCGGAGTCACGGCGCGGCCAGCGACCGGCGTCGGATCGGCCGGGACCGTCCGATCAGCGACTGAGTCGACCGTACTATCACTTCTCGGGGGCGCCCGGCCGCGTTACACCGTGGCACGGTCTGGAACGGTCCGTCACTACCGTACGGCCGCCCAGAGTACTACCGTAGTACGGCCGGCCCGGGCCCGGTACGGCCCGTCGCGGCGCCCCCGCGCCGCGGCAACTGAAGTTCAGCACTCGGAACTTGCTTACTAAACGGACCGTGAGTCCGACTTGGGCCGGCAGAGTCTGTCACAACTTCAATTCAATGTGACTCGGCGGCCGCACGGCACCGTGACTGCAGTGCCACGCGGCCGCTGACTGAGTGGCAGGCTTAGCCCCGGCCGCCCGGCGGCGTGAGCGGCGGCGGCGGCGGCGGCGGCGGCGGAGGCCCTTCAAGTTCGCCCGGGCCCGGCGTCACCCGGGCCGACCGTCCGATCCGGACTCAGTTGTACCGACTGCAGGCTCAGTGACTACGATCGGACACGGTACTGAAGTCCTGAGTGGAGCCCGGCGCCGCCGGATGAGACGGTCAGCGCCGGGCCGGCGGGAGTCCGACGGTCGGCCCCGCGGCGCCGTGCGGCAGTGCCGGCGGCAGTGCGGCTCCGGCGGCGGCGCGGCCGCGGCACGGCGCGGGCCGCCGGGGTTGAACTGACGGAAGGACTCTGTGACACGGTCTGCCCGGCCCCGGCGCGGCATCCCGCCGCCGCCGCCGTGCCACGGTGAGTGAGTCCCGGCGCCACCCGGCGTCACGGCCCGGCCCGGTCCGATCGCATAGCGTTGCTTTTCCGGCCGGGCGCTCATAGGAAAAATTGGCAAGATTTTTTTTTTTTCGAAGGGCCTGTGGGGTCCCTTCATTTCATGCCATGTGGGAGTACCCTACTTTGAGAAGGCGTGTAGGAGGGTACTCGCTCTTAGGAAAATCGTTGCTGCGCAGGGCCAAAGAGGGGTAGGGTGATTTGAATTTGGTTGCTTGGACACCTCACCACGCCAAACCAAAGTAAAAGTACGAATTTTAGAAGTATCTGTGGTACCAACTTAATATTGCAGCGTTTATATGGTACAAAACGAGGGCCAAACTGGTCGGAACTTCGACTTCCGAGAACCCCTCCGTTTGACTTTCGTTGGGGGGTGGGGTGGGTATGGAGCACCCTCAACTACCCACCTTTGAACCAGTTTGAAACTCTGTGATAGGGGGTGGGGGGTAGCCCCCATTTCTCATTCCCCAAGCCCCCTCTCCCTGGACGAGCAAGAGGCGATGAAATGGTGCCTTCCTGACACGCGAGGATGAACCTTGATATTGAGAGACTTCGAATCCAACCCAACTGAGATAGAAATGAGATGAAGATCTCATATCACATCTGTAAGAGATGATCGAGCTTCTTTCTCAACTCTGCAGGTTGGGCCAAGGTTTGAATCATCCATCGTGTACTGGAATATGCACCCTAGGTACAAACAATCCGCGTGTGTACTTGAAAATATTCTTCGAAGACAAGATGAAATTTTCATGAACAGCTAAGCAACTAATGATAGATTCACCATTGAACAGAATCAACTCTGATTGACCCTTCTTTCAAATTGCCGTAGGTTGAACGTTGAGCTCAAATGCATGATTTGTGAGAAATTTGTATCAAACTGTACCTTAAGCGACTTTGCTGTCTAGATATGTGTTCTCGTGTCATCACTCACTTTCAATTCTTCTAGTCTTACGGTCAGGATTCATGCACCTCACTTTTCTATAAAGAAAGCTTTACATGCTCAACCGTTCAATGATGCATGAAGAGACGTTTGCACAAAGGATTTCTTTACCTGCCAGGATAGATGACTTTGAATCATCGTTGTTGATCATGAATCACTATACCCATGATCAAGTGCATTGACAATTGCATTTCCATGTTTCATGACGTTGTTTTCTGCACTGCAACTAAGTTCTTCCTCTGTCATGACATTTCCACAACGCTGCAGAAACCTAGTTAGAAATGAAACAATGTGCAGATGAATCTGATATCAATAAATGAGATGTTCTTCGAATCAATCCTGCCTTGTTTGGACAGTTCGCAATGCTACCATGCAACAGTAGAGTTCTTGTCGCATTTGGCTCTACAGAGGGTTGCCTTGTTCAACAGAGCAAGCACTCGATGATTGTAAACGAACCGCAAACACTGTGAATCAATAAACAGAATTCCACATTCAGGTGATCATATCTTTATTACAAGCGTTTCAATCTGGGTAAAAGCACAACCGACCTCCTTGTAATCCTGACGACGTTCCATCTTTTGCCTGGCGAAGTTATTTCTGTGTTAACCAAGAAGCATGTGACATGTAGCCACATCATAAATGCTGTACGGCCTGGAATATCAGCATCTTCAAAGTGCTCGTGTTTGCTGTGACCGTATCATCTGCTTGGCAGCGGCTCATTGATGGACACACGATCTGATGCAAGTTCACACCAGTAATATTTAGATGATGCATCGTGTGATCAAATGGCATAGACCTTGGTGATTTGCAACATGTTTCATCGTTCCAACACATTCTTGAAAACCGGATGAAGAATCCTTCACGAACCACTGGACTTGCTTGTTATCATTCGATAGTGCTGTGGATCATCGTGGTTTCAAGCAATCGAGCAGCTCACTGCTAAAATGCACTGTATTTCTTGCGAGCCTATCAGCCATCATCGTGAAGACATGTGTTCTTGAGCTCACTGGTGACTGTACGGCTTTTGAACAATCCAGTCACCGTCGGATGATGATTCCCTGTCGTCTTGTGTGTAATCTCCATCCATCTACTCCAACTCAGTTTCCCTGTCATGCATCGCAGATAGCTTAGGGTATTTCACAACCCGGTTTCGATTGCAACGTATCCCTGTGATGGTGATTTTCACTTGTATTATTGATGCTCTTCGCTCACCAAACGATTTTTCGTGAGATTCACGCACTGTACCAAGCACTCCTCAAGGATCATCATCTCTACACCTCAGGAATTTCCCATGAGGATGTTCGGTGAACATCTGATGTCTGCACACGCTGCCGCGGGCTCGCTGTTTGCGAGCCCTGGTTAGGGCAGTACAGAGCGGTGCGACGTGCCCCGAACAAGGGGAGGCTCATGGCGTGTAGAGAGGTCGTTCAAACTTGTTTATAAAATTGTACCATAAGAAGGCTCTACAAATTAGTTAGTAGACTACCCCATGATCTCACTGCAACTTCTGGGGTGCAGCCCTACTTCTCTGTTTATACTCAACCATTCCACAATACAGTTTAAAATATCTTATTGGAAAACAACATCAGAGTTATAAACCTGAAATTTGGACCCTGTTTGAAATCCTCAAACACGCCACCCCCCAATCCACATAGAAAGCAGAACAACCCCCTCACGGGAAAACATACAGCCCAAAGCAGAAAAAGCAAAATGTCAACGCTATGGGCGGCCCCAAATCATACGGCAGTGACTCCCGTACCGTACTGCGGCGCCCCGGCCGCGGCGGCGGCGAAGTTTCTTTCCATCGGTCATGGCATCGCCAGCTATCGTTGACCGTTGTCGCGCCGCCGCCGGGCAGCCACCGCCACTGAGAGTCCGGGCCGAGCCTGGCATGGTCCGATCACGCTGACCGGCCCGGGTCCGTCCGATACTAAGCCTTCAGCTCGTACTGAAGTTTTACTTAATTGTGAGTAAACTAAACTGTTTTAGCTAAATGCACTGTTGCCTGTATCTGGCAGCCGGCAGCAATGGCTGCCCCCGCATGGTACTGAGGTTCCCCTGCAGCTGGATAGGTGATCAGAGGGTCGCTCAGCACGCGTAGAACTCAGAGAGCGGTCACCAGCGACTCTCTGCTCTAGCTGATAGCGTCCCTTCTTCTTCACTGTCGCATGCTCGGACCAGTTTGAGTGGAGTTGCGACCATGGAGGTGGCTTACATCCAGCCACCGAGGGTGAACGTGTGGCCGGCGAACCTTGATGCAGACGAGGCGCTCGGGTCGTTTTCATGCATAGACTTGGTCGTTTCGCACCAGGGCGGCGTCCTCCTAGCCGCCGGCTGCAGGGAGTCGATCTGCATTTTCGCTTCGTCGGACGGAGACTCAAAGCTGGAGTGTGTGAGTTTGTTGCAACCTAGCGCAGGAAGGATCCTTCAAGTGGCGATACACATCCATGCAGAAATGGTTGCATGCTTGTGCTCCTCTGAGGTCGTAGTGCTCGGGCTCACGGGACTTCTTCGGAATCGTGTCTTGAGGTGCGAGCTTGTGGGGGTAGGTGTCGTGACATGCCTACTCACTCGCCTCCTTCTGCAGGCGCCTCGATAGGGAAGAAAGTCAGTCCATCGCGTGGATCCTTCAGGATGGTAAGACGAGACTGAAGGTTGGAGGGCGAGTCGTGGAGGTCAGCCCTCAGCATGCGGGCGGAAGGGTGGAAGTACCCAGAAGGAAACAGATGGCGGCCAAGGACAATCTACAGGCAGGAGATAGAAGGTGTCTGGATGTTCACAGTGATATGTGCGCCTCTCCTCAAATGCGCTGGTTGGCAACTTGCAAGACATTCTCGAGAATCGTGCGTGACGGCTGTGCAAACATGCATGTGTCTTGTAACATGTATGCAGCTCTATGTGCATGGTTTGAGAGCAGTCGACAAATCAGGAAACCAGCATCAACATGGACAAGACGATCAGCGTCAGGATGAATGCCGTGTGTTGTTCCTTCCTCATCCTCGTATGATTACATCTTTCAAGTGGAAAGGTGTTGGACCTATATTGCAAGCTCCTGTCTGATGCTTTTGTTTTGCTGCAGCACCACCACGGCAACAGTTACAGAGAAATGCTGGAGAATGCATCTTAACGTGCTGCAAGGACGGGATTGTCAGATTATGGAAGGAGATCAGCCATGATCGCCAATCAAGGTGTGGTCTTGTTGCCTCCCTACACTTGTGTTCAAACATGCGCTTTCGTCCTTCCCCTCCACCTTGAAGCTCTCTGACTCCTCGGCAACCTGTCAGACATGCCCCGTCGGAGTTTGTTATCGTCGCAATGTTGCAGCTCTCACATGAGTTGCAACCTGATGTCTCAATCTCCGCTGCCTGGTTGCAAGAAGTGACAATTGGCGACAAGGCCAACCGGGCCAAGGATGAATCTTCCGAGCACTGTGAGCTGAGTTTGTGTTGGAAAGTCGAGCCTCTTCTGACGCATCTGATTGCTCAGATTCTGATGCTCCTCTCATCGACTCCAGCAAATCATCTCAGCAGACTGACGCGAGTTGGATCGTGGTTGCTAGCAGACAGGAGATCTCACTGTGGCGGATCAACAACCTCGACGATTGCAAACTGACTTTCTCCCCGGCATCTTGTGTCTTGCGTAGCCATGTGAAAGCATTTTATGACCCATCGACCTTTCCCGCTGAAGGTGATGCTTATAGGCAAATTTTGGTGATCGTATGATATGGTGAAACTGTTCTTAGGGTACCCTGTAGACAAACTCACTTCGGAAGACAAAGATAGGAGTTCTCTCTTCTCTCAGGATGACCTCAGCATTCATGACGTCAGAGGGTTTTTGTCTCCTTTGGATCATGGCAGTGCGCAGGGTCGGAAGCAAGCAAACCTGATCGTGGTGGATGCTTCGGGGAGCTTGTTCATCACCTCGGTAGATGTCTCGCTCACACCAGGATCTGACATGTCGACCGTGTCGTCTTCTTGCCGATTGGAATCATCTCTGCGCAGCTTGACAGGTTTTGATGCGCATCGGTTCAAGAGTTTGCAACTGGGACTGCCAGTGGGTGAAGATGTTGGGCATGGGGTGGGAGAAATAATCTGTTGCGAGACAACAGATGGGAGGTTGTCCCTCATGAAACAACAAGATCAGTGGCCAGGGGTTGCAGAAGCTGTGTTTGCAGTGTCGAGAAGTCAGACTGTTGCTTTAGCTTGTCACTCCGATGTTTGGAGTTGGCAGACTTGCTATGATACTTATCATGGAGAAGGAATTGCGCTTGCTGTTCAACATAGGCAAAAAGATTCTCTCGTGCATGTTTGCATTCTTTCATGCTCTCTGTTATGGTCTTCTCATGGAACCAAGCCTCGCGAGGTTGCTCTTGTAACGTTTGAACTCTCGGTTTTGACTCTCTTTGCAAGATTTCTATCCGACATGCGCAGACGTTGGTTGTCGAGAAAAACATCTCGCACATCACAGTGCTTGCGCTCGAGCAAACAAGCAGCGGGAAGAGCTGCAAGTTGTTGATGATGGGAGTAGACACGCAATCATCTCTACTTTGTATCCTCAGCGGGATGGTTTCAACCCGTGGAGTAGATGAGAATTCTGCTATTGCGCAGACGGTTAATGAGAGATGCTTTGAGCGCTCTGAAGTCGAGCTCAAGGTTTTCCTTTCATTCTTAATTCTTCATTCTTGAGTGTTTTGTTGGCAGGAAATGGCCCTGGGAGGAATTAGCTGTCTTGGTACAGTTGATCATGACGTCTACGATTGTTTTCCAGCCTCCAACTCCAACGCGACTGACAACATCAAGATGGTCAACGTGTTTGCTGGAACCCAGTCAGGGTTTGTCAGTGTCTTGCACGTTTACAACTCACAAGATCTCTCTCCGTCGAACATGGCGATCGATGTCATTGCAAAGTTTCAACTCCCTGAAAGTTTGAGGAGCGACGGAGAGCTAGGAGGGGTCTCGTTGCTCCGTCCGCTGTCGCTCTACATGATTGCAGTCGTGTACTCGCACGCTCCCACCCAAGTGTTTGTTTGGGAGAATTCTCTTTCTCTGCAGGATTGGAAGATAAGATGTGTTGTAGACATGCCGAGACATTCTGAAGTGAGATGTGTTGAATGGTTTCAGTCCTCCCCTTCGCTCGTTTTTCTGGCTGTCTCGTCCGACGACGACGTGGTCGTTACCTCCCCTCTCTTTACCAGCGGGGATTTCAAAAAGTTGCCGATGATGCAGTTGTTGTGGTGGAATAGAATTCAGAACTGCACTTGTTTGAAGTGGACGACGTCCGGCTACCTTCGTCTTTGTGTACAAGGTTGTTCGAGAGGATATTCCCTGCGTTTGTTGTAGTTGATGTTGTTGTTCCGGATGATGATGATGACGACGATGACTGCAATGATAATGACGACGGCATTGATGATGAAGATGATGATTAAGTTGATGATAATGACGATGACGATGACGATGACGATGACGATGACGATGACGATGACGATGACGATGACGATGACGACGACGACGACGACGACGATGATGATGATGATGGTGGTGGTGGTGATGATGATGATGCCATTATCATTATGTTGGAATTGATGTCGTCGATGGTGTAAAGCCAGCCTGTGATATTTGCACATGATGGTGTTGCTTATACCAAGGAGCAGGTGCTGTGGTTGAAATACAACCATCTTTGTGGCAATCTTTTGCTGATGGCAGATTCCCGAACCTCAGCTTCTCGGATCATAGCAACTCTACGTTCCAGGTCTGACATCACAATCGAATTGTTATCGTATTATTTGAATGCGGAAACAAAGATTGTCTTGCTGTTTTTGTATCTCCTAAAATTCATACCAGGCATTCTGCTTGCCCTCGTTCGCAGATGATGATCAGAGAGAAAACTCCGATGAAGTCAAGATGGCAGCGTCGACGATTCGCAATGCTGTCTTGCACATTCATTCCCCCCTCTCTCATCTCCATCCCGTCGCACTGAGATGGTAGAAATTGTTTGCCCTCGTTTGCCCAACCATCTTTCCTCTCCTTTTCTCTCTTCATCACAAACTTGGACTTGTGCTGGTTGAACTTGTTGATGGGTAATCACTTGTTGGCCCTGATTGCGTTCTTGTTTCTTCTTCGACATTTCATGTTATGACCACCGTCTAGGTTCTGGAGCTGCAAGCACCGCAAGATGCTCGTCAGGAGTCTGCAACACCTACATTCCATCTTGGACTCTGAGGTAAGAGATGAAGATATGAGCTGACAACAAGGATAGAGATGAAGTATGACTGTCGTCATGCAGGGTTACCTGGAGATTGAAACTCAGAACTGGAGGGAATATCTTGTCAGCGAGGACCAGAGGCAGCAGGACGGTGCTGAAGACTCGATGCACACTGCAAGCAATCTGTTCCAAGACAACTTGTCTTCGATGATGATCAAGAAGGACATCGAGGAAGACTCCAACTTTGATGAGCAGCTTGTTAGCATCTGCAAAGAGATTGCAGTGAAGATGAAAGATGAAGACAACATGGAGAGATTGAGGAGGCATCTGAAGGGAGGGTTTGACACCAACATGGGGGACTTTGAGGGCAGTGACTTGGAAGATCTGAGAAGTTTGATCGGAGTGATGATAGAGACATCAACAAGTCAGCCATCTCTTGTTATCGATGACTTCGCTAAGGTTTGAACTCCTTTTCTTCAAACTCCCTCATCTCATCAAGTCTGTCTTTCAGTACTTCCTGTTCGCCGCACATCAAGAGAACATGTCGTCTTGCAATGAAGAGCGCAGAGAGCATTTGAGCGCTACCTCGATCGCCATGGCGGTCTTGTCGGATACGCCAGATGCTTTGTCACAGTGTTTGCTGAAAGATGCAACAAGCTTCGACACGTTGAGCAAGGTATGTGATAATGAAACATTGTGCTGCTGCTGCTGCTGCTGCTGCTGCTGCTGCTGCTGCTGCTGCTGCTGCTGCTGCTGCTGCTGCTCCTGCTGCTGCTGCTGCTGCTGCTGCTGCTGCTGCTCCTGCTTTGATACTCGCGACTTATTCTGATTGCCCAGCTCTTTGCCCCTCTCTGGATTGCATCAAATGGAGAGTTGAGAACGATTGCAGACAAGGTCGCAAAGTCGTTGGTAAGTACCATTACCTGCTGATATGGGTTGCGATGATCATGATTGTGACGACCACTACCACTACTACGATGATCATGACCACAATGAGGACAGTGACCACAAAGATGACAAAGATGTTGATGATGATGATGATGATGATGATGATGGTGGTGATGATGGTGATGATGATGATGATGACGATGACGATGACGATGATGATGATGATGATGATGATGATGATGATGATGATGATGATGATGATGATGGAGATGATGATGGAGATGATGATGATGATGATGATGATGATGACGATGATGATGACGATGATGATGATGATGATGATGATGGAGATGATGATGATGATGATGATGGTGACGATGATGATGATGATGAGGATGATGAGGATGAGGATGAGAATGATGATGAGGATGATGATGAGGATGAGGATGATGACGACGAGGATGATGACGATGATGATGAGGAGGATGATGATGAAGTTGATGATGATGAAGTTAATGATAATGATGATGATGATGATGAGGAGGAGGATGATCGAGATCATGATTGTCGATTGAATGATGTATCATAATCATGATTACAATGAGACAGCAAAAGAGACGATCGGAATGATGATGACTGATTCCCTTGTCAGTTTGCTACCACAAAAGATCCAACGACATGTTCGCTTGTTTACATTTGCCTGGACAAAAAGACAACTTTGGCTGCAATGTTCAAGGTGCGAGCGATCTCTAATTGATTCAAATCCACGAGCGCTAGAATGATGAAGATGCTGCTGCTGCTGCTGCTGCTGCTGCTGCTGCTGCTGCTGATGATGATGATGATGATGATGATGTGATGATGATGAGAAGGAAGAGGATGAAGACATGATTTTGAGGAAGAAGAATGAGGAGAAGTGGGGAACTTGGGGGAAAATAAGTTTGAGAAGCGGAGAATAGAAGTTCTGAGTCTGGAAACTTTAAAGTCGTTCATGTTAAATTGTTTGATGCTTTAACTCATGGACATGCTGCAGGCTGTAAGAAACGAGAAGCTTGCTATGTTCTTTGCAAGGGACTTTTCACAAGAAGCTCACAAACAAGCGGTGAGTTGATTCAATCCCTCTTGCGGTTTGATTATATCTTTCATCTTTTAACTCTCTCCACTGCTGCTCTTCTCTCCTTCTCTTCTCATCACTTCACAATCAATCAAGTTCTCATTGCTGAAACAGGCGATCAAGAATGCTTGTACCCTCCTTTCTCAGCACAGATATGACCTGGCTGCAACATTTTTCCTGCTTGCTGGGTCCTTTCAAGGTCATGACAGAGGATCGACAGAAATTTGTTGATTTCTGTTTCAGATGCACTTGAAACTATCTTGCAAAAGAAGAAAGATACTATGCTTGCTCTGCTTGTCACGAGGTTTGTGACTTGACATGCGGAAATGTAATTCATGATTGATGTTTCAGACTGTATGCAAAGGCTGACAGCGGAGAGGTTTTTGATGTCGGAACACGAATAATCATCGACAGACTGAAAGCCGAGGGTAGTATGCTACTAGCTGCCCTGTTGCACTGGCGAAGGGTGAGTTGAGGAGGAGCAGGAGGAGGAGATGCAGAGGGAGGCGGAGGAGCGGGAGGAACATCATGAGCAGGAGAAGGAGAAAGAGAAGGAGGAGAAGGAGGAAAAAGAGGACAAGAGAGTATGGGCGAGGAGGATGGAGGATGTAGACACGACTAGAGCTGATCCGTTGCTGCAGGGAGAGATCGAGTCTTCTCTTGACTTCTTGTCCTCCATGGAATCCTCTCACAACCACAGGCTCGTCAGCTCGACCAACAAGCTTGACAGCGTCAAGCTCGCGATCGAAATGTCTGAACTGATGGCAATCGTTTCAAAGATATCGTCCCACCCTCGTGTCCGTCGTATCCTCAATCTTGCAGAGAGTGGAGATGAGGAGTGTCTCCGAGCGCTGCCTGCTGCCCAACGATGCCTCTCACTCCGCAGAGCTCTCAACTCTCACATTGTCTCTTCTCTCATGTCTGCAGGGTGTTATGACCTCGCCATGTACAAGATGTACAACGATGGCCAGGATGGAGAGAGAGAGCTTAGTCGAGCAAAGGAGAGAAAATCTTCGCTTTCGTACCTGCCTTCGACTTCGACTTCAGCTTCAGCATCAGCATCAGCATCAGCATCAGTATCATCATCAGCATCAGCATCAGCATCAGCATCAGCATCAGCATCCACGTCAATAGACAAGGAGATGGAAAGATTCTGGAATGAACAGAGAGAGAGTTCCATTCATCGGAGATGCTTGCATGGATTCTTGCAGACTTTCTTGCCTGTCACGCCGGACTGGAAGCATCCCTTCACTCTGCAGTCCAACGACCCTGACAAGGTTGTGGAGTTTGTGAAGCAGATGAAGCAGGTACAACGTCGATCGCTCTCCCCTCATTTCATCTTTTTCCTCTCCTCTCCTCTCCTCTCCTCTCCTCTCCTCTCCTCTCCTCTCCTCTCCTCTCCTCACCCACATGCAGGAGAAGGAGAAACTGCAGAATCTTGGTTTCTCCGTGGACCTCATCGAGCATCTCGTGACCCAGGAATGTTGGAAGTCTCTTCGATTCGACTGTTACGCTGCGCTGAGCTTGTCCTGTGTCGACCCTTCCTGGCATCTTGACTCGCTGAAGTTGCTGTCCAACTTAGGGTCATATGCTGAGAAGGTGTGCATCGTGTCGTTGCGGACGGCGACGTGCGGGAGGGAGGGTTGTCAGGTCAGTCGTACTTCCTCAGGATCTCTCAAAGACTCGCTGCATGTCTGGCCATACATCAGGCTACAAGACAGCAGGAGACCAGGTACAGCCTGGAGCTGTTTGCATCTTCCTGTTTGCATCTTCCTGTTTCCGTCTTGCTTTTTCCGTCTTTCTTTGTCTTTCTCTACATTCTTCTTTATCTTCTCATACACTCTTCGCCTTGACATTTTCCCCCTTCCATGTGTTTCTATGTCCTGTGGTGCTGCTACCACTGCCAATCTCCTGCTTTCTTCTTCTTGTTCTCTTCTTACGTTGCACGTCCTCTTGTCTTCCCACAAGGTCTCTTACAAGCATTGTCACAGAGCCTCGTCGGCGACCAGCGATACAAGAGAAGCCTTGTCCTCAGATGCAGCCAAGACAGAAATGATCAAACAGCTTTGCATCGCTGAATATTTCACTCTCCTGCGAACATTCTGGACGACAAGACAGTCAGTCGGACTGTTCATTCTCTTAGCAGACATGCCGGCGAGGAGGAGGCAGCAGCTCAGCTCATCTGAATCCTTCTTCCTCATGTGCCAGCTCGCCATCTCTCGTCTCTCAAGGGTAGAATCGTTTGCATGGGCCGGGAGCTGGACGCAACCTTCTGCTTCCGATCTCAGCTTGGTCGTGCCCGACCACCTGGTGGAGTGTTACGGGGAGGTGGAGGGGAGGAGGCTGGAGGGAAACAACCAGCTGCTGTCACAGAGGAGGGAGTTGGAGGTGCTTCTCGTGGAGCTGGTGCTCCTGCAGAAGCTACAAGGTCTCATCGACTCCTGCCTGGCTCCGGACCTCTCAAAAGACGTTCATGCTGAGTTCCTCGCCTGCATCCAGGGGGAGGTGAAGGCATGGAGGAGGAGGCACTTGCATGCTACCCTCAAGCAAGCTGCCCAGCTCCCCTGGCACGCAACAGCAACAGCCGCGTCCCTCCTCCTCAACCTGCCGCAGGTGCGGCCCGAGCAGGTGGCAGGAGCGGGCAAGCAGGATCGGATGAGCACGATCTTGACCCTCACGGCGTCTCAGGCATGGAAGGAGGACAGCAGGCGTCTGGAGCTCCGGGACATCGCCAGCGCACTCCTTGCTGCCTCCCAGCCCGTCGCCCTGGACCAATACCCAACGACATGGCTGGGCCCTGAGGAAGTGCTGCACATCTCGAGGGGAGAGGCTCTACGCGCGGTCTGCCTCAGAGCCGATGACTCTGATCATGCTACCGTGCTCGCCGTTGCATCCCCCAAGTTCATCAAGCAGTACGAGGTGAAGCCCAGCAGCGCCTCCTCCTCCTCCTCCTCCTCCTCCTCGTCACAGGCGTGGTCGGCGCAGAGCAGCAGCGGCATCTCTCCTCCTCCTGTTGTCTTCCGTCCTTCGCAGGAGCTGAACTTACCGTGGGAGGACAGGAGCATCAGCGAGGTAGACAAGGGCATAGCAACAGCCGTCAACGTGGTTGAGAGCGCTCTCGGCATCCTTTGGGACCGAGTGTCGACGGCTGTGGAAGTGATTCAGACGGGGATCGAAGGAGGCAGCCAAGTACATCCGACAGGCGCCACTACCATAGCAGCTCATCCCTCCCTCCCCTTCTTCATCTCCGGCGGCTCTGACGGGCCTCTCCTTCTCTGGGGCTTCGGCACCCCTCAACCACTAGCCGCCGTCGCTCCCGTCTCGTCCTCGGCCATCAGCAAAGTTCGCTTCGACCCCTCCGGCCGTTTCGTTGCCGTCGCTGACTACACAGGACTTTGCGGCATCTACGAGTTGGACTTCAGCTTGTCCTTGTCGAGCTCCGACATGCAGCCCATGCGCCCTCTCGAGCTGCTTCACACGCAGAGCAAGAGAACCTACGACATGGCGTTCATCAACAGCGGGAGCCTCATTGTCACTGGCGGCCATGGCAGCAACGCTGCTGTCCGCGTGTGGGACCTGCTCCGCCCTTCCACCAACAGCTGCATCGCCGCACTGAACCTGCCGGAGGGAGGTTGCAACTCCATGGTCCACGTGGCACAGGAGGGCGTGCTGGTGGCTGGAGGCCACAAAGGGGACGTGTGCCTCATATCCAGCGACAGCTGGACTCCTCTCGTGACAGTCCCAGCAGCACATCGAGCAAGCATCCGAGCTATCGTCGCTGCTCCTGTGCAAACCAAGGATGGGATGATGATTGTGACGGGCGGCAATGACGGGGACATGAAACTCTGGAGCATTGGACAAATGCTCAGAGGAAACCAAGGTCATCTCCCTCCTCCCTCCCCCCTCTCCCCCCCAACTACCACCACCATCACCGCACCACTTCTCCGTGCTTGTACAAGAACTACACATCCTAACCCCCAACTTTGCCCAAGTTAACCAAACTCTTCCTCAAGGTTGCCTGGAGACGCTGGAAAACGCGCACGAGAAGGCTACTTTCATGAGGGCTGGCAGCTCTGGCGCTATCGTTCCAGGAACCTATGGGGTAAGGAGTCGTGGAAAAGGCTAGGAATGATATGAAGGAGGAAGCGGAAAGGAAACTGAGAAACAGCGTGAGAGAAAGTGAGGAAGGAAGGGGAGACGCCGGGTGTACGGGTTGGGAGGGGTGGGGGGTTGCCGAAGAAGGAGGAGGGAGGGGGGAGGGGGAGGGGAGGGGGAAATTAATGCAGATAGCAAGAGTACTCAGCCCGGAAGGGAGGGAAGCCAGGCGAAGATGATTTCAATGTTGACACTTGGATCAGGTGCTCGACGTTATCAGCACAGGAACTCATCTGCTGTCTTGCGGAGGAGACGGCAGAGTGGTGAGAAGAGCCTGGATTGCAAGTCAACTTAGAAAGTTATGAGCCCGGCGAGCGCGCCGGGAACGGCAGTTCCAGCTCACTCCGACTGAGCGCCGATTCGTCCGGCGATTCGTCCCCCACCCCCCCCCCCCTGGGCCCTGGGGACGGTCACAGCGGCCGTTCAACCGTTGTTCCGATGATCAAAAAACTATGCCATGATGATTGATACAACTTCAATTCTTCTCTCTGACATACTGGAGCCTAGTACGCCGCGGTCCTGCCAGGCTGGCCGGGCGGTACCGGGCCGGGCCGGGCCCGAGCGTGACCGTGACTCTCAGCACGGCCGCTGATGATGTGATCGCGGGGACCGTACCGTAGCTGCCGTCCGGGACTCTCCGAGCCTCCGCTCAGGAGTCCGAGCCTCGGACCGGCCCGCCCGGGGCAGGCTTGAAACGGTCACTAAGTTCGTTGTGAGTAAGTGGAAAATCAGACGGGAGTTGCCAGTTGAAATACCACGGTCCCGGCCGGACCGCGGGGGGGCCGCGCGGCGCACAGCCGGGCCCTGTACGGTCGGCCCGGCGTCACGCAGCCTGCCGCTGCCGGCTCCCGGGCGAGGAGGCTGAATCGGTGGCAGTGAGCCGCCGGGAGTCCGAGGGGAGTCAAACTCCGAGGCTCGGCCGAGTGCGGCCGCGCCGCGCGCCGCGCAGTGTGCGGCCCGGCGCGCGCCCCACTGACCCGGCGTGTTGCGGCCAGTCACTGAGCCTCGGAGCATTGGCAAAGTTCACCGTGAGTCACCGGATCGGACTGGCCGCGCTGCACCGCCGGGCCGCGGCACTGAGTGAGCCGCTCGGGGGGAATTGTCCTGCGCGGCAGTGAAGCAAGTGAAGCGGCGGCCCGGGTATCAGTTAAGTTTGGGGGACAGCAGTCGGCAGGATTGGGTTTGGTTCTCGCTATCGAGTGAAGTTTCTCTTCTCGCCGTTTGGCCAGTGCCACCGTGCCACCGTGGCACGGGCACGGTGCGACAGTGATTGGGCCAGTCAGTGGGCCGGGGGGCGGCCGGGATCGGACTCCGCCCGTCCGACGCCGTGATCGGACCGTCCGAGTCTCGGACTGGGAGGCTCCAGGGCCCGCCGGGGCCCGGGCCCGGCCGCCCGCCCGGCCACCCCGGCGGGCCGCCCGGCCCGCCGCCCGGCGGGGCCCGCCGGCCCGAAAAGGCCGCGACTTCAGAACGGGTCACGGACTCAGTTGAGTGCGGCCCTGAGCCCGGAAAAGGCCGCGACTTCAACGGGTCACGGACTTGGCAGTTGATTTTTCACTTACTATCCGACACTTCAGGCTTTGAGTAGAGTGACCCACTGCCCAGGCTGTCAGTGTCTAGACGTAACTTCGGCGGTTGGAGGCTCGCGGCGGGCGGCTTAGTGGCCGCCGCACTGGGCCCGTGACTGACTCGGAGCCCCGGCGGGCAGCACACAGGCTCTGGGGCCAGCCGCGTGACTCTATTTTACCGTGCCTCAATACTTCTTCGTACTGATTTTTCACTTAACTTTGAGTAAAGTCTACCGTACAGCACTTTACTAATCGGTAGTCTTACCCGGATCAACGGTTTACTCAATTGAACCGTGCGGTACCGTACTGTGACTGTACCGCAAGTACACACAGTACCTGAATCCTTTGCTCAAAGTTGAGTTAAAAATCAGTAGAGTAGCAGCAGCTTTACGATTTGGCCCCCGAGCGCAAACCGAACTGTTTTTTTTTTTGTTAGATGGCTCCGCTATCTTTACTACTGAAATCACGAGGCAGCAGAACGAGGCCCTTTCAGATCCCCACCGAAATCCTACCACCCCTTGGGGCTACCACCCGCTGGAGCATTGACTGACAAGTATACCCGTTCAAACAACAGCAATGGGATGGTGAATGCACCCCGTCATCCTGGAGACTTTGCCGGACTACCCCCCTTTTGAGTAGGCCGAAACAAACTTCTTGCAAAAAGCCTCGATTTATTTTCTTTTTCGTGAGTTTTTGTTTTTGGTAGAGGGTTTTGGGAAAGAGGGACCACTTACTACCCTCATAGTATTAACTTAGAGCCTCACTTATGAATAACTTCAGCTTATAGGCAAGGAATGCTTCCGCGCTTTCCATGCAGTCGTGACCTTGTCCCCCTAGCTTGCCCATCCCTCGGTCCATTTACACAGTCATAACCATTCAGCACAATGAAATTTTGAAATTTGATAGTGTAGGTTGAAACAATGCGTTGCATTGCCAAAAGGGTTAACTCCAATTCGATGCATGATCAATGGGTAGGGGTAGGTGGGGTGGTCAATTCGTGCTCCACGAGCTGTATAAGGTGAAGTACTCGTGAATCGTTAGGGTAGGGGTACAAACCTGTGGTGGGTACTAAAAACAATTTTCCAATTTTAGGAAATAACTCCATTGAAACGATGAATAAACGGGACGATTCGATTGAAGAGTTAACTCCAAACGATATGAAAGGAGTTATTTTCACAAGAAGTGGTATCGGAGGCCCTTAGCACCTCTCTCAAAGATATCATCTTCCCCCCCTTCACCACCATTTCTATCCTCTTGCTGTTGTTACGAAGACACGAGCCTCTACACACAGTCAAAGTAGCGATCCTCCGCCGCCTTCGTACCTACCATCCCTCCATCTTCCAGATCTGATCAACCAAACAGTGACGTACTGAAACATGAGAAATTTCGATCCCATTGCTTCATTGCCCATCAGGGCACCTCCAAGCGACACCAAGCGAAGGTATTCCTTGAACCCGAGAGACGAGATCATGAGGAAATATGAAGATTCGGAACAAGCTGCAAAGATCCAGCAATCGAGAGCAAGCATGCTCAAATCCGAGCTCGAGATTTACGATATGGAAAGATGTATTTCATGGAGCGACTCTTTCACGCTCCGCAACAACGATGCAGCAAGGGAGGCGTTGTTCCTTCCCAGTTGCAATCCGGACCAAGAAATAGCCTCCCTCCAAGACTGCTTGAATGATTGCGAGGACTCGCTGAACTCGACCCCTGGCCTCAAGTCCATCGACCGTTCCGGGAACCTCATGTTGTGCGGGGATCGCGGAGACATCAACCGAGACTTGATCAGTCCGTTCGGGCCCTCGATCGATCATATTGGAAACTTTCGCACTAAGATCACACAGATCTGAGTCTTGAGATTTCACCTTGTACTTTAGCATCCACAACATGTAAATTCTTGCTATTGATTAAAAGAAGGAAAAATGAACCTAGCTACACGTGGCACACTAGCTTTCAAGTTTTATTATGAAAAACTGTTGCTCAACCTAGCCTCAGCATCAACGGAACTGAAGAGAGCGCTCACGCTGGAAGAGAGCACAGTTTAGACAGCACAGGTCAGGATACTAGCATACACGGCCGGATTCAATACCTGGCTCCTTCCATCTTCCCATCTTGCGCTTCGATATCTTCTATTGCCATATGGGCAGAGACTGAAGCACACTGCGCAACGACTGAGTCTTCTTATGCAGCATCATTGCGTACAACAAACCTGAATCGAACAATGCGGTTCATTTCCGGCCATGATCCAAGTGCAACCACTGATCTTCTTGCGACAGACATGACATACCTGTCAAGTTGTCAAGACCAAGGGCATCAGACCATCGTTTCGAAGTACGTGCAAGCTCTTTACAGCCGGGTCTTGCACCTTCCCAGTCTCCATCCCCTACGTCCCATAAATGACAAGAAAACTGATGCAGGAACACGCTTTCCACCTCTTCTTGCATCCTCGCAACTTCTTCTTCGTGATGGTGAAAGTCCGACCAATCATCTAGTTTGTCCATCGTCATCAAACAAATACGAGTAAACATCTCAAATGAATAAAACTACCTTCCGGACTAAAATGGTGTATTTGGGTGGAATGCACAAAGCTCCCAATATTCGATGTTTCTACTTCTTGACTTTTGACTGCATCGTTTCAGAGAGCATTCAGGCATTTACATCAAATTTTGCACACCTTTCGGTGAAACTCGGCATTCAACAATCACATCTGATTCCTCATGCGCGTCGTCGAGGATCTTCGTGTCCCAACTCTGTTTTGGTCTAGAATATTGTTGCAAACCGTCCAATTGAACAATGACCTCTTCCTCAAAGTTTCCTCGTATCCCGCATCCATTCTGTTCTACACTTGTTGTGTTGTCTAGTAAATCGATTGAGGGTTGTGTTTGTTCCCTGTCCTCAACAGGCGTTTTCACAGCCACAGCAGAAGACGAGGCCGTCACATCACTCCACTGGCATCCTTGATTTTCACCGTCGGAACAGAGTGGGTCTGATGGCTTGCTGACATGTTTGTGATAATTCATATCGAGCAAGGTCATCGATCTTTTCGTTCGAGTCCTCACCTTGACGAAAGGAAGCGAACAAAACTTTAACTTGACCTGGCTAACCTTCTCCTGTGATACATCTACAGGGCCAGCATTGCACGAATTAGCAAATTTCACATGAATGCTAGCATTCTGATTGTCATGAAGAAGACGCGTATAGTCACAGTAGGAAGCCGATCGTCTTGCCATCGGTTTGGTGGGACCGTTAGGGAGAAATCCAACGTCATACAACTTTTGTTTGTTGTCGGAAGGCTCATGAATTCTGTCAGGTCTGCAAGCAACAAATTCTGCATCCCTTATCCGGTAAAGCATACTCCCTCCACGCAGGCAGAGAGAGACAGGATGATTCTGAGTGGACCGAGGGTCACGCTCTATGTTCGGTGTGACATGATGCGTCTGGAGAGTTTGTTGCCCGAACAAAACCGAAAATAGCCAAATGGCCTCGATGTGTATTTTCCCCATCTGTATCTTATTGTAAAAGGAGCTAGTACCTCAAGGTCGAACTCGGCAAGAAACCTTTTGCTGCTGTCTTTGTGGCGTTTGGCACGTGAAGAGTTCAAAGAGGGTTTAGCAGTTCCTGGGTCTGGACTTATCAGCCGCCACCAAATCTGGTCTAATTTCCTCCTGTTTCATCATGCCAAGATGAGTTTCAACGTTGGTCTTCCTGCTGTGAGTTGCCTCTCTCTCTCTCTCCTTCCTTTCCCTTGCTTTCCTCCCGCTCCGCCCTGTTCTGTTCAATCCACAGACAAGCGGCGCAGAAGTACATTCTATTACCCCACCCCCTGACCCCTACCCCCACCATATAAAGGATTCAATGTCACCTACCCCCCTTGATCCGTACCCCTACCCCCATGAAAGGTCAAGGGTATAGTGATTGAAGGGCTAGTCATAGTAGCACACCACCCCTACCCTTGGGATCCAGAGGAGACTGTTGAGATCCCTTGGATGATCTCACCACAGTCTTGTCCTGTAAAGACTTGAACGGGATCGGACCGCCTCAATTCCACTGAGCCCGCCCCGCGACTCCGTGCAGTGCCGCGACACCGTGACGGCGACCTTGCCAAGTTGCCCGCCGTGACTCAGTGACCGTTCGACTCAGTCCGGCGCGGCGAGGCAGCGGAGTCCGCCTGGCGGCCCGGCGCCCGGGTCCAGGCGCCGCGGTCGTCCGATCCTGTAAAGACTTGAACGGGTCCGCCTCAATTTTACTGAGCCTGCCCCCGGGGCAGTCACGGTCCGCCGGCCGATCCGAGAAGACTTGAAGGCTTCCGAAGTTCATCTTCCGCCGCGCCGGCGGAAGCCGGCCTAGGCTCACCCCGGGCCGTGCCCGGCCGCCCGGCGCCGGTGCGAGTCGGACCCGTCACGCCGGTACGGTACGGTAGCCTAGTAGTACCGTACGTAGTACGGCCCGGCCCGCCGTACTACGGTACGGGCCGATCCGCCGGGCCGGTTACTGTCTCCGACACTGCGAGTACCGTAAGTCGCGCGGCTGCCCGGCGCACGCGGCGCCAGCTGAGCGGCGGCACTGCGCCTCCTCCTCGACCTGCTCCTTCATCCTCCGACCCCGAGTCCGGTCGGCAGTGGCGGGTCACCACCGTCGGGCGGCCTCAGCACTCAGGTCCAGGCTGCCGCAGCGGCCCGGCCGGCCCGGCCCTCATCACTCCTTGAACCCTGACCGTAGCCCAGCCGCGGCGGCGGGGCCTCCGACGATCCGATCGCTAAGTTGCCAAGTTGCGGCAACTGCCAAGGCCGGCGCTAGTAAGTTCAACTTGCCTCCCGCCGCCGCAGACTCTCTGCCAGGGCCGAACTTGGCAAAACCGTGTGATGATTCGGAGTTCCGAGCCGCCACCGGGTGACCGGGACTCCAAGTTTCGCCCGGCGCGCCGGGGCCCCGACGGTTCACTCAGCCTGGCGGCCCGGTGACCGTTCGGGAGTCAGTGCCCGGCCCCCAATCCGAGGCTCAGGCTCAGTGCCTGAGGTGGCACCGTCACGGTGAGGCTTGAAGTTCAAGTTGATGATTCGAGTCAATAGTTGATGACGGTGAGCCAGTCTCGCCGCAGCATTAGGCGACCCTTGATTTTATGTTCACGGTTGATATTCATTAATAGACAGTGACGGTAGCATGTGCCAGGATCTCTGAACTTTGAGATCACCCGGTGACCGATCGGATCACTCCCGGTTCCGAAGTTCACTGAACAGGACTCCGGACAACTGAGTTCTTCCGACAGCGGTTCCGAGTAAGTTCAAGGCTGAGGGATGCCGCGGCACAGTACTACGCGGCAGCACATAACCCATCATCATATGTTACACTACATAGCCCATCACTACAAGGCTCCAGCCTCCTGCAAGATCGTCTCAAGCTCGCCTGGTAAGTGACATATTGGCATCAGTCCTCAGTGCATTGAGTGCATGTCAGATAAAAGTACCTGATGCTTTCTTCGACACCATGTCGTCGCCCCCTCCAATAAACTGATACAGCAGCTTCTCACAAAGGTAACATCATGCCGCATTCTCATACCTTCCCCTTGACAAAGACGCGAGGAACAGATCTTCCTCCCGTCAGAGTATTCAGGGCGTCCTGTTCCAGCAACTATCAGTTATTTCGAATGCGCTCGTGAGCTCATTCAGCCTCGCCGCAGGGAGTACCTGGATGGCGTTGCCATCATCGCGGAGGTCCAGCTCAAGCACTTCGTACTTGGCATTCAGCGAATCCAGTGCATCCTTTGCCTGGAAGAGAAAGCAACAGCTCACGAAAAGTTGTACGAGAGTCAGGGGCGAGACTACCTTAGCGCAAAATGGGCAGTAAGACTTGGAGAAGACAACGACGGGGTTGCTGCAATTGATAGCATCAGCAAGTTCAATCCACACACTTATGAAGGCCATGAATGCAAATCTTGACAACAAGGATGGGCAAATGGGAAGCTATCATGGTAGAAAGTGAGCACATCATGCTTCACGCGTTGACAGGTCACACTAATAGGCAATGTCGGTCAATCAGCTCAATCTCACTTTTCAATCGCTTTCTTTGCCACATGTTCTGCCGTCATCATCGGTGTTGCGCCGCCGACGGCATTGTTTGTCATACAGTTCCCCATAGCTCCGGTATCAAATACACGCAATGCACTCTTGTGTATGACAGGGTATAAAATCTGATTATAATAAAGAGTACCAGGTTAGTTTTATGGGTACAACTTTAGTACTGTGATTCTGAAAATATTTCTGAGGGATGCGCGTTTTTAAAATTCCAAGGAGTCGAAGGAACAAACAATTTTGGAGGGACGCTCTAGCTGTAGATTTACAAATGGATTCCGTCGTACTTTGGGGGTCATCCATCAAATTGCTGCTCTAAATTTGAAATCACAAGAACAAGATACAATCAACCATCTGGTGAGTCACAACCCGCCGGTGACCGGTCCGACTCTCCGACCGCGGCCACAGGACTTCATCCGATCGGACGCGGCTGCCGTCAATGCTCTCCACTACTGTCAGAATCCTCGTACTGATTTTTAACTTAACTTTGAGTAAAGAAGTCAGAATCCTGACCGGCGAGGGACGTGACTTTCCAGTGACTCCCGGAGCCATCCTTAAGTCACAATGCTCCGATGATTCAACCGAACTTGAATGCTTAGCAACTCTTCAAACTGGCCCGGGGGGCAGGCTGCCGGGCGGCCCGGCCCCGGCAGCCGACGGCGAGGCGCCTCGGGCCCGGGCCCGGAGCGCGGCGGGGCCGGCCCGGGGGCCCGCGCCGCCGGGCGGCCGGCCCGGCGGGCGGACCGTTGGGCCTGACCGGCGGCCCGGGGGGCCGTCGGACCATGAGCCCGGTGACGATTACGGGGTGACCGTACTGGCGGCCGGCGAGTCGGCCGCGCCGCGGCGCGGCCGGGCGGGCCCGGGGCCGGGCCGGGCCGGCGGGCCCGGGGACTGCCAGTCCCACACGGTCGGCCGCTTCCAGTTCAACGGTTCCGCCGCCGCCCGGCCGGCAGTGACTGCGGCAATGCCGCAGAACATAGGATCGGACCGGGTGCCGGGCACCGTGCCACCCGGCGTGCGCCGGGCCCGGGAGCCGCTGGAGCCGCCTCCGATACTCGGACGGGAGTCAGCACAGTGAGTGACGGTACTACCGTGCCAGGTCACCGCCCGGGTACGGGCACGGTATCGGACTGGCGGCCTAACTTAACTGAGTCAGTGTCGGGCCGACTGCCAGCCTCCCTGTCGGAGCGGCAACTCCCGGCACGGACTCCCGGACTCCAGGCTCGTCCGCCGTGATCCCCCCGCCCGGCGGCTGAGTGGCCGCACTGCACTTAGTGCTGACAGTGAGCCTAGTATGAGGCCCTTCAACCGGGGCGGCCCAGCGTCGCCGTACTACCGTACGGTAACCTGTCACTGGCCAGTTCAGCCTGTGCGACAAAGTCAGGGCCAAGCCTTCTCGATCCGACGGACTTGGGGTCGTTCAACGGTTCCTGATTGTCCTCGATCTTATTTAAAACTCAGTAGAACTTTGAATACCCGGTGCCACTGGGCGCCACAAGGACGGCCTTGTCCAAGGCTCAGAGGCAGTGACAATCAGCGCGGTATTCTGAGCGTCAACGGTGTCTCCCGTTAAGGACTGTGGAAGTCCATGTCGCAGCTGATCAAAGCAAGTTACTCCGTGCACCGGGCTGAGCTTTTTGGATGAAGCAATGCCGTAATGCTGTGCAATGAGCCTGCAGGCCCAAGCCTCTTAAGTTCGTTGACTGTCCGATTGTGACATTGGAATGCAGCTTGAACTTCTTTCACTTTCAGGTATCAGTATATTACTATATTGTCGGATCATGGTGACATAGATGCGTGAATGAACAAGCATACGATACTGATTATGATTCATATACTGACATTCAAGTTCGGTACTGACATTGAAGTTGCGGCATGAGAGCAAAATAATATCCAAGATGAGTGACAAACACACCCCTATCGCCAAACACATCCCTAAACACCACTTACAAGACTCCAGCCTCCTGCAAAATCTTTTGAAGCTCGCCTGATATGTGCCGCAGTTACATCAAGATACTTCGTTGACCGGTTTACAGATAAACGTACCTGATGCTTTCTTCGACACCATGTCGTCGCCCCCTCCAATAAACTGATACAGCAGCTTCTCACAAAGGCAACATCATGCCGCATTCTCATACCTTCCCCTTGACAAAGACACGAGGAACAGATCTTCCTCCGCTCAAGTTGTTCAGGGCGTCCTGTACGAGAGTCACCTGCTTTGCCATATTTGACCACTCACGGCAGGGAGTACCTGGATGGCGTTGCCATCATCGCGGAGGTCAAGCTCAAGCACTTCGTACTTGGCATTAAGTGAGTCTAAAACATTCTTGGCCTTGACGAGAAAACAACAGATTAGATACATTTCCCGCGAACTTTACATAGATCAGTGGAAAGAATACCTTAGCACAATATGGACAATAGGACTTGGAGAAGACAACGACGGCGTTGCTGCGGACAACAGCATCAGTCACCTTGACACAACGCATCAAGTCATACACGTTGATTGACAGCCACTCTGTGAATCCACCACAGCAAACAAGAAAGGAGATGCAACATAGATCGATGAACATGTCATTGACAGGACATTACATGACAACACGAGCATTTGATCGCTGAGCTCGAGCTTACTTGTCAATCGCCTGCCTTGCAATAGCATCTGCCGCCACCATCGAACTTCTGCTGGTTCTGTTCCCCATGGTGTCACCAGTACAACTTATATTAATTTAATTTGTACAATGATAACTAAATTGTTTGTAGTTTGTACCATTTATTATTTTTCAAGGGACGAGAATTGATCAAAACAACCAAACTATTTCTACCAGCATGGAAGCATCTATAGAATATATATTGCTTTTTAAAAAACATGAAGGATTTTTCTACCGAATCAAAGCTCTACGTCTGAAAACTTAAAACTTAATATTGAATTTTACTATTGGATTTAAAGGAGTTTTTGAAGTACCCGGTCGTTGGTCAGGGTAATGACGGGGTCATGTTCGGTTCAGTAGCGCAGGTGAGGCGGGTTGGAATTTCGAGTTTTTGAATCTGCAGTTGCAATGCGTGAGTACTGCATGGCGGTGGGGTGGGAGGACACGGGTGAAAGAGCAAGGAACAGCTTGATGATAGGCTTGAAAGATGTCCTATACAGATCCTCTCTCGGGAAACACAAGCGCTCGCGAATCCTTCATCTCCTGATTCTCCATGCAAACTATCTGTCCCTTCATGGCCGCCTGACATCGAATCCGTTTCCTTGTATCTTGCTGCTACTTGCTCCCTTCCTCTCCTCTCTGAGATCACTGCTATCAACGATATTTGCATCATGATCTCTATCCCTTTTCACGTTTCGCAATAAGTGATGGATGCGTGTCAGGGAGATCTTCAAGACTGAAGGAAACTCCGCAGCATGATGAAGCACAAGAGTATATTGACTCCTTTCTCCTGTCCATGTGTACTGATACAAGTATTAGGATGAAGATGGAGGACTCACTTGCTGGTACTGATCATCTTTCTCATGTTATGCTCTCGTCCCCTGCGGCCCTCTGACTTGAAGACGCAGAGGAGCAGGTTGCTCCCAACGGAGGCAGGTGCAAGCGATCGCGTACCACTGAAGGTGGGGAGGAATGCTCCTTTAGAGTGTATGATTCAGATGGTATCAGGCTCCAAGGCCAAGAAAGGATGGACTAGTGCTGCTGCTCCTTCCTTTGCCGAGGACGAGCAGCAGATGAGAATCAGGGAGCTTGAGGAAGAACTGGAGCTGGCCAAAGAGAAGTTTGAACAGGAGGAGAAGAGTTGTCAGGTAAGGCTGTAAATATTCGAGCTCTCAACCTAAGACAAACTTGTTAGAACGCCTCCTCCCTCCTGCAGGAAGCCAATGCGAGGGAGAGAGATCTTCGATTCGAAATCACTCAGCTCCAGGACCAGCTCAAGCTCTCGCAAGGGAGCGCCCCCTTAGATGCGAGGACGCAGAAGCTGGTGAACGAGAAGCGAAAGCTGGCGTTGGAGGTGCAGGCACTGAAGGAAGGGAAGGAGTCAGCCGAGCAGAGAGCTAAGGCGCTTTCTTCCATGGTCGAGCGGCTGCAGAAATCTGGTGACAAGGAGGAGCCTGCTAAGGACGCGCGAGGTAGGACCCGTACGTCCAGCAGGGAGAGAGCTTCAGACAAGGACAAGCCAGGGAAGGAGGAGCAGCAGATGATCTCGAAGCTTCAGGCTGAGATCAAGCGGCTGGAGAAGGAGGTGGCTGCCTCGGCTGCTGCTACTGAGCGAGCCAAGTCTTCCTCTTCGTCCAAGGTCCGAGAGCTGGAGCAACAGGTGGAAGAGCTTGCGGCAAGTCTGAAGAGGGCAGAGGAGGCGAAACAAGCGGAGGAGGAGAAGTTTGCTGGAGACAAGAAGGCTCTGCTGTCGGAGCTGGCTGATGCCAAAAAGAATCTGGAGCGGAGCAGCAAGAACAACCAGAAAGAGGAGGAGATGAGAAAGATCTTGGCAGAGAAGGAGAAAGTGGTGGAGCAGCTTCAGAGTCAGGTCTCTCAGCTCGAGGGGGAGAAGCAACAGCTCTGCGACGAACTACGTCAGCTGCAGCAGGAGTGCTCGGACACGGCCACGCGCCTCAGCGACACGAAGAAGGACGAGGAGGGATCCGTCGGAAACAAGAGGAGGAGAGCGAAGTGCGGTGGTAGGTTCAGCATCGAAGAGTCGGATGCTCTGATCGAGAAGCTAGCGGGGCTGCAGGCGCAGTACCTGCAGATGACTGCGAACAAGACAGGAGGAGGAGGAGGAGGAGGAGACAAGAGAAGCTCGACTGAAATAGTTGAGATGCAGCAGAGGCTGGAGCGAGCGCAGCAGGAGCGAGACGATCTCACGGAGCTGACGCAGCAGCAGGAGCGGCTGATCGCAGGCCTAGAGGATCAGCTGCATCAGAGCGAGAGAAGGCGGGCCCAGCTGCACAACCAGATCCAGGAGCTGCGGGGGAACATCAGGGTCTTCTGCCGCATCCGCCCGTTCCTGCAGGAGGAGGCAACCATGGACGCCCCCTCTGACATGACCTTCGGGCGCAGCGGGGACCGGCCCTCCATCCTCATCAGCCTCCCTCCCCCGCAGGGAGGACGCAAGAAGGACTCGCAGAGCTTGTCGTTCGAGTACGATGAAGTCTTCGACCCGCAGAGCTCTCAGGCTTCCGTCTTCCGTGAGATCGAGCCGCTGATGCAGGTGCTTGTCCTCTTCTTCCTCTCTCTCTCTTCTCTCTCTCTCTCTCTCTCTCTCTCTCCTCTCTCGTCCTTCCCCTCCTTCCTTCGCTGCTCCCCATCCTGCTCCTCGCACACCAAAGATATGTTTCATCGTCTGACAAGCTCCGCAGAGCGTCATGGACGGCTATCGTGTCTGCATCTTTGCCTACGGCCAGGTTCATCCCCTCTCCTCTCCCCCTCCTCCCTGCTGACCTCGAGATAGACTGGCTCGGGCAAGACCCACACCATGGAAGGAAAGATCCGAGCAGGGAAGCAGGACGAGCAGAGGTGAAGCCTTGCTGGTGTCGCTTGCTACTATCTGACACTGGCACGCAGAGGAGTCGTGCCTCGCTGCATGGAGCGGCTGATTGAGCTGCGTAATGAGATGCAGAAGAGAGACTGGAGTATCAACTTGCAGGTGAAGGGGGGAGGAGGAGGAGGAGGAGGAGGAGGAGGAGGATGGATGGATACTGAACTTTTACTAGTGCTCCTGCCTGGAGATCTACAACGAAGTGATCCGTGACCTGCTCTGCGACAAGGAGGATGCTTCGAAGAAACTCGGTCGCTCTCGATGTTCATTCTCCTCCTCGTGCTCACAATTGTAGCAGAGATCAAGCACGACAAGTCCACCGGAGATGTCGTCGTCACCAACCTAACTCAGGTCCTCCTCGTTCTCCTCCACGACTACCAAAAGCTTGTTTGCTCCTTCTTCCACCTCCTTCTCTTGTAGTTTCGAACAAGGCTGACCACCACACAGCTTCCCGTGCAGTCAGAGGAAGAGATCTACCGCATCATTCAGTCTGCCTCTCGGCGCAGAGAGACAGCTTCGACTGTGAGGTGACGAGAAGAGGACGAAGAGGGGAGAGGAGGCGACTTAGCTTGTGCTGGCAGGAACGCCACGTCTTCCAGGAGCCACAGTGTGCTACAGGTTGTTGGTCAGCCATGATGTTGAGTTGCCTGACTGATGCGCAGCTGACTGTTGAATGCAAGCACATGCGGACGGGAGAGGTGCTCACTTCACCTCCTCCTCTTCCGCTCCTCCCCATCCTCCTCCTTTCTCTTCTCCCTCCTTCCTTTTCCTCTCTCGTTCTTTCTGCGCTTCCTCATGGCGTTTGTGCAGTCCAAGAAGGGGATTCTCAACATGGTGGACCTTGCGGGCAGCGAAAGGATCAGCATAGATCATGACAGCAAGACTACCAAGGAAGCGCAGGCGAGTTTCGACTTTCTCAATTGTTCGATCTCCTCCTCCCTTGCTCGACCTCCTCCTCCCTTCGTCCTCCTCTTCCGCTTCCTTTTTTATCTCCATGCTGTCCTCGTGCTCACACCTGAGAGCAGAACATCAACAAGAGCTTGAGCTCGCTGCTCGGAGTGATTCAGGCGCTTGCAAGCAAGCAAGCTCACGTCCCCTTCCGCAACTCGAAGTTGACTCACCTCCTTTCGTCCTCCCTCGCGGGAGACGGCAAGGTACGCTCCTCTCCTCTCTTCGCTCTTCTCCTCACCTCGCTCCTCTCCTCTCTTCGCTCCTCTCCTCTCCTCGCTCCCTCTCCCTCCTTTTCTCCTCGTGAAGCTCCGCAGGCCCTCATGTTCGCCAATCTGTCGCCTCGCCTACAGCACGTGCATGAAAGCATCAACACCCTTCGCTTCGCCGCGCAAGTCAACGTCTGCCAGCTCGGACATGGCAAGCTCAAGGCTGGGGAGTAGAAGGAACAAGCTTTCAAAGAACAGAAGGATGAGGAGGAAGAGGATTTTAACTGACTGCTTGAAGAAACTAACTAATTCGACTACTCAACTGAGTTGTTGTCAAGCACGATCTTGTTCTTGCTGTCCTCCGACACAAACAGACTCCCTCGCGAGTTCCCTCGCAAATCGTTGTGCTCGAACGTCCCCCATCCTCCGTCCTTCACTAGAATCCCGAACTCTCCGTTCTGAGTGATGCGATTCTGCTTGCACAGAGGCTTGCCGGCCTGCCAGCATGTGATGCCGGAGAGAGAGTTCTGAAAGATGTCGTTCTTCTCGATCTCACACCGCGAATGATGGTGCACGTCTACCCCTCCGCTGTGCTCGTGCCCGAAGATCTTGTTGCGGACGATCCTTGGGTTGCTGCTCTCCCGCACGTCGATGCCGGACAGTCCGTTGCTGTTGATGTCGTTGTCAGTGATGACGCCCCTTCCGTTGTCGAACACGGCGACGCCATGCTTGCCGTTGCTGCGGATGCGGTTGAAGCGGATCTCAGGGCGGGACCCTTCGGAGATCTCGATGCCTGACTGTCCGTTGTGATGTATTTCTGTGTCCTCCACCACCCCCTCGCTCCCGTCGTAGAAGTGAACACCGGTCCCCGCGCACTGATAGATCTCACACCTTCGGATCTTGGGCTTCGTATCCTTGTGGTGAACTGAGATGCACGTCAGGCTCGCGCTTGACAACTTGCAGCCTTCCACCACCAGCTTGCCCGCCATGATGTCGATACAGTTCCAGAAGCCGCTTCCTCGCTGCCTGATAGTGATGTTGGTGATGGACCCGAACTCAGTCTCTGCGATGATAGCGTCTCTCCCGTTAGTCTCGATGACGATGTCGTCGACATGCCCCTCCCCAACTATCATGACCGGCCTCGACACTCGAAGCGTCTCCTTGTACTTTCCTGCTCGCACAACGATCTTGTCTCCGGACTTGGCAGCTTCCAAGGCATCGGCGATGCGCTGATAACGATCTGACTTTGACACGTACAGCGTAGAGGTGATGTCGGAGAGGACTGGCGGTATGCTGACTTGTCGATCTTCATCCTTGGTGAAGGAGGAGAGGCGGACGGCAGAGTTGAGCTCATGAATCTCCTGCTTCACATCCCGCATGTCAAATATCAGCTGATCTACATTCCTCCTCATCTCTTCCATCCGGTTGTGCGCCAGGTCAGCTTGTTTACTTGCTCTGCTGCACTCCATGGAGTTCTGCTTGATCTTGCCCTGGAACAGCTCGAGCAGCTGCTGGATCCTCGAGTCATAAGCATCCATCATCTCCTGACGCTCTGCTCGCTCCTTGTCCAGCAGCTTGTGAAGGTCATTCAGTTCCATCTCTCTCACATGCAGCGCCTTCTCCAACCTCGCCATACGCTCGTCTCGCTCGGTCGCCGCGTTGTTGAGCAGGTCGACATGGTGCTGCAGGTTTTCCTCCCTGTGCCTGAACTCGTCTCTCCTCGTGATCCTCGCTGCACACCCGGACTTGGCGAAAGAGCAGGAGAGGACCTCCAGCGGGCACTCGTGCTGCGCCTCCTCTCCCTTGAAGACCACGGCTCCGCATCCTCTCACGCACATGGCCACGTCCTCGATCCCCGGCTTGCCTCGTCCTTCGCTTACGGTATTCATCCTGACCAGAGCTAGCAGCGATGTGCTGCGACCTCAGTCCCTTGTTTCTTGATCGTCTTCCTCTCAACCTGCCTCCCTCCACCCTCTCCTTGAACTCCTTTGTATCGACTCAGGGAGGTGATTTACAGGGGAACAGCTACAGTGACGTTCTTGTCAGACTGATGGTTTCTGTTTGCTCCTCTTCTCCTCTTCTCCTCGTCTCTTCTTCCCTCTTCTCCTCGTCTCTTCTCCTCCTCTTCTCCTCGTCTCTTCTCCTCCCTCATCTCCATCAACCCCCTGGCGCTACCGAGCCTGCAGTCTCTCATGTCGGTCCGCTCGGATACTGAGGCGGAGAATTCCTATTTTTGGCCTGAAGAAAGAAGCAACTAACATATGGGAGGATTACATCATCATGATGTTGGTAATGATATTACAAGGAGATTTCTTCTGTCATTTCATGAGCGAGGGTGAAAGTGTGCGCAATTAGGCAAGGCAATCGTTTCCTTTGTTTTTGACGTGTACTTTCGACTGAACTTAAAGGCAATGCAACGATGCGAGCAGTCAGATCAACTCAAAGTCCAACTGCCTTTCCTTTTGGACAAGAGCCGCTCTAAGAAAGACGAACTAGCTTAAGCTCGCTGTTGCTGCCCCATGGCACGAACACTCTGTTGTCCTCGTCGTACACGAAGCAGAAGAACGGGTTGAGCGCGTCCCACGCGCAGGGATGATGTTTCACACAGAACCAGCTTTGAAACCGACTCGTCATCAGGTATCCCAGCCCTCCGGTCTTGAAGTCGAGGCTGCAGTTTTTCATTCTCGGCACCAGTATCTCCTCCCACGTGTAGGGGAGCTTGCAGGTCTTGTACCCGACAGGCAGGTTGTCGCCCCACAGCCAGGGGAAGGAGGAGGACCCGTTGATCGTCATCCAGGACGAGCAGACTGATAGGCGGGAGCCCAGGTAGCTCAGGTCCCCCATGCACACGTCGGGTCCTTGCTGGAAGCTCTTATCCTCGGTGTCTGAGGTGGAGCAGTTGCCGCCGGTCTCGATGCGGCAGCTGCTGTCGCAACCGTCTCTCGAGACCTGATTGCCGTCGTCGCACTCCTCCATCTCATCCACGGTCGCGAGGTAGGCGCGAGCATAGAAGACCTTGCAGCTGGGAGAGTAGGTCTGCGAGCAGTACCGGCAGGAGGCGTACAAGGTGGAAATGGAGATGTTGTAGCTGGGGCCTGACAAGGACGAGGGAATCTTGTACTTGACGACGGGCTGGTACGAACCGCAGGATGCGTAGCTGCTGGCAGAAGGACGCGAGAGGGGGAGGCTGACGCCGTTGAGGGTAACGTTGAGAATCTGAGTGGAAGAATAGAAGGATACCATGTCCATCTCAACGATGAGGAACAGTTGAGTTAGACTTGTTTTAGGAGCCCTCAGTGTTGTGCTGCAGCTTGAGATAGGAGAGTAGTAGTAGCCGTAGAACATGTTGTCGTAAATGAACGTGGGTTCAGCATTACATTCCCTCTTGTCCTGTATCACAAACGTCCAGTCTCGCAGGCCGTTGCCACAAGTGGGTTTTGACTTGAAGCCCCAAGACAAGTTGAAGGGAAACGCAGATGTCCGGTTGTTGACGTTTGACATGAAGGAGAGCGAGATCGACTGACTTCGGAACACTTGGAACCTATCCCTGGGAACGATGCTGGAGCCCTCGGAAGAGGTCACGGTCAGCAGATCACATGGGGAGTTCTGAGACACATGGCACAGGTCCGTGATAGTGAGCTTCAGAGCTGACTTCTCTCGGAACGGCAGCAACAGTGTCGTTCCTCCCCTCCCATCGCTCAGAAGGGATAGCCCTCCAGAGTTTGTCAGGCGCCCGATGGACGTGCGAATACTATTGTCATCGAAGAAAGTTACTTCCCAGATGATGTTGGGGTCCCCCGTCACTCCAGATGTGCTGGCAGTCCCTTCGAAACGGATGACAAGTCCAGCTCTGCCGCCCTCGTTGACCCTTTTGCTGAGGAGCAGCTGGACTGAGTTGTCTGATCCTCCGATGAAGAGGGTGGGAACAGGAGGCCAGCTGGGGCTGAGGCCGCTGTAGTAAGAGAACCCTTGGAAGAAGGTCAGGTAGGAGTTGGAGGAGACGTATGTCCTTGCCCTCACGTTGACACCTTGAAAGCAGAAGTCAAACCCAAAGTCGGGGAGCAGCCAGGAGGAGTCGTCCATGCTCTGGGAATACCCGATAGAGCTGGGGTGGAGCAGGTTCCAGCCCCCTGACGAGATGTTGCGGAGTTCACTCTGAGTGGCCGACCCGTAGAGCTGAAAGTTGACAGGCTCGAACAAGGTTGGGGAGAAGGGACAATCAGCTTGCTGCATGCCGGTAGGGGCTATTGCAAGCTCAGTCTCCATGAAGGTTTGAGTTGTGGAGCTGTCGATGCTGAATGTAGCGCAATTTGCTCCTGCTGCAACCTCCTCGTCAAACTTGCGAGCGAACAGATCGTAAGGTGACAAATCGAAATGACAGCACGAGCTGAGAAGACACTCCTTCTTGCACGATGACGAACAGCCGTCGCCATTGTCTGTGTTGCCATCGTCGCAAAACTCTCGTCCTTCTTGTATGCCGTCACCGCAAACGTCGTAGGTGATGGGCCCGTAATGCAGCAGGAACTGTGAGCGCGAGACTATCTTCATCCTGGGTTGGCTGCTCCTGATGCCGCGACTGAAGGATTCGGATCCAACCATCCACAAGTTGCTGGAGGTAGAGGACATCCAGCCTGCGTAGTTCCACGAGCTACACGCGGCATCTGAGCACATGTAGAAATCAACGTTCAAGTTAGCGTTTTCTGTTGTCTTCGGGAAGGAGATTTGAAGGTTCGTCAGCGACGCCGGTTCAATGTCCCATACACAAGAGCTTGAGCTCCCAGTGTTTGGATACATCTGACTGCTCACGGTGCCCCTCGGCTCAGTGAACCTAACGCACCCACAACTGCACTTGGAACATCTCGAGATCTTACCCGGCCAGAGCTCTTGCTCGCACGCGAACGAGTCTTCGATGGTGCAGCTCGACGAGCATCCGTCGCTACTCCTCGTGTTGCCGTCATCGCATTCTTCGGAGTCACTCACCACTCCATCGCCGCATGTCAAAGTCGTCTCGCACCCAAACCCTGTGTATCCTTGGCTGCACGTGCACAGCCCCTGCAGGCAAGTTCCCCGACCGGAGCACCCGGCTGGGCACGTCAAGGTGCCACTGCACTGAGTGCTCTGCTCAAAGTCTCCGGTCACTACGAGCGCGAAGCTTTGAGGACCCTGAGGCACATCGGAACCAACGACAATGACGCGGTAGAGTCCTCCTGCTGCCGCTGGGATCGTTATCTGCTCCACGTTGTTGACACGATCTGGGCTCTGTCCGGTGCGATTGTTGCCGTACCACAAGTTTCCAGCCTGATCGACCACGAGCAGGTCAAGATTGTTGATGAGGAGAGAAGTTGAGTACATGGAAGCTGGAGGATCCGTCCAGACCAGAGTCACGCGGAAGGAGGAAGAAGCTACGACATTGAAGCAAAGAGACTGAGAGGCTCCTTGAGTGATCTGCTGGCGATCTAGCACCTTGAGGGTGAAGTCGGACTCGTTGCCAAACCAGAGGACCGCTGAGAGGTTCATGAGCCCGTACCCTTGCTCGACACTTGGGCTGCTGTCAGGCTGCTTCCACTGCCAGTCGTTTCCTTCGCTCGCATAGATGTATCCCCAGGTGCGGTCACGGACAAGACGGCTGCCGGAGATGGCGAGGTTTCGAACCTGACGTCCGCTCTGTATGATCATCGCTTTCACCAGCGCTGAAGAAGGATTTATCCCCGCAGACACGTTGCGTGCTCCGCGGGCATGGAACCCCTCCGTGAAGTACTGCCGCACGATCGCCGCTGCTCCTGCTGCTGCTGGCGTCGCCATGGACGTGCCGCTCTTCTCAACGATGCAGCTGTCCTGCATGCCAATAGAGGACGCGCACTGAAAGCTTTGAGCAAGGCCATCAGACGAGGCTGAGAAGATATTCTGACCAGGAGCAACTATGTCAGGCTTGTTCCGGAGATCAAACGTCGGCCCTCGTGAGGAGAAGTAGGAGAGATCAGTGTGCTGAAAGCTCTGCGCTGTTCGCTCTGCGCTGACCACAGGAAGTTGCCCGGACATGACTTCATAGTAGCACAACGACCCTGTGCCGCTGATGCACGTCTGCCTCTTGGAGAGAGATTGTAAGTTGTACACGTCCAAGCCGGCAACGCCAGCGACGGGAATGGTGATGGAGCGGGCGACGTCAGGCCTTGAGGACCCGGTGAGGTGGAGAGGCTCGCTTTGCCTGTAGGGCTGATAGAGCAGCAGCCCCACGGCTCCGAAGAACTGAGCGTTAGAAGCCATCACAGCTTCATCACATGTGCCTGAGTAGTAAGAGATGTACGGGGCCAAGATGATCTTGCCGGTAAAGGAATGGCGGAAGTACGACCTCGCCGTGTTCTCAAAGTTCGATATCATGTAAGAGTTGCGCTGCCTGGGAAGAAACGAGTGCACCGCGAATCCTCTGATCATCAACTGAACATAGTCTGCAGTGTCTCCATAAGCTCCGAAAGAGATGGTGATTGAGCGGTTTGAAAACAGGTTGATCTGAAACTCATTGTACATGGAATATTCACTAGTGTAAGCTCTGACGAACAAAGAATATCCTTGTACTCCTTGTTCTTGGAACCTCTTTCCAGCAACGAAGGATGGTCGAAACTCAGCTTCTTCATCGACCCGCAGGAGGGGTAAGTCGATCAGCTGAGAGCTAGAGCCGAAGAAGATCGACCCAGATCTCGTGACTATCAACTGCTGGCTTGAATTGTGCCCTAGAATACAGAAGTCCATGCCGACATCTACCTGGGTCAAGTGAAATTCTCCAGAGTAATAGTTATAGTTGCTGTTTGTTTGGCTTGCTGAATCGTAGAGCACATCCCAAGACGGGCGATTGTTGGACAGCAAGTAAGCAATCACCCCGCTGTTGCTTCCCCAGCACGCTCCATAGTAGGGGTCGACAGTCGGGTCATAGTGGACCTGAACTTGGATAGATCTCGAAGCTGTCGCAGGCAGGCGGTGAACGTAGCTCATGGTCATGCTGCAATCGGTCACGATCTTGCTTGTGTCGAAGGGGAGGTACTCTCCGTCTACTGTTATGCTTGAGACGCGAGAAACAAACCCGTCGGCGGTGTACCAGATGAAACCAACCTCGATGATGAGCTCCATGACCGTGCTGGAAGCGTCGTAGACGGGGATGTTGAAGTTGAATACACAATCCTGAGGCACAGGCCAGCTATATGAAGAACAGCTTGCCGTCTGTTCTACCGAGACATGGCCGGAGAAATAGTCGTAGCCGACCAACTGTGGGTTGTTCTGCCAAGTCCCTGAGATGGCAGAATGGTTGGAATCTGCAGAGCATGATCTCCCACTCTCTTGAACGGGAAGGCAAAGAAGAGAAGACAAATCAGAACATCGCGATCCCCACAGGTAGTAAGAATTGATATAGCAAAAATTGTTGAAGTCCTGCATGACCACAGGAGCGGATAGCGGTGTCATGGAGTCTGTCAAAGGAAGACCGAATGTAGCAGGAAGAATGTCGAGCAGCTTGTAGTACATACCATCGCTCATCGACAGTGACAGGTTGTAATATTCGCCATAACCGTGAGCTATGTAAGCCTCCCGGGTGTTCATGCTGGAACCCACGGAGAGAACGTTCTTGGCGCTCGCAGGAGATCCGACGGAGAAGTGGTAAGGTCCAGAGTTCCCAGCAGCAAACACGATGAGGAAGTCATCGTGGTCGTACATGTACGCGTCGGTCTCGTGCGAAGTGAAGTAGTAATAAGATCCTCCGCCGCTACCCCAGGAATTAGAATGCACTCTGGCCCCGTTCTCATACGCATGAGGGTAAAGGCCGTGATACAAGTCCCAGGGCAGGTAGTTCAGATAGTAATCCGTGTTTGAGATGTCGTCAAAGACTATCTTTGCTCCCGCTGCTGTTCCGTTGTATTGAGAAGCCAACGAGTGATCGGGTGAAGCAGCGCCGGCCACTGTGCCGGCCACATGCGTTCCGTGACCATGCAAGCTATCGTAGGAGAACGCTGCGGGAGGTGGCGGCGTGAAGGAGTTGTAGGAGATGATCTTACGATGAGTCGTCCGCGAAGGGCACTGGAGCGAGCATCCTCCATAGTTGTACATGTAGCAGTTGTTGCAAACGTACACAGCTCGCTGAGCATCATGGAAGAAACAAGAGTCGAAGTCAATGCCGGTGTCTGAAATGCCAACTATCTGGCCGGTGCCGTTGAGACCTCTCTTCTGCAGCCCATCATGGATGGATTCTCCTTTATAGGCTCCCTTCACGACAAGGGATGCGTGCATGTTCAAAGTTTGATACTGCATTCTCCTCTCGATATACTTCACTGCTGCTTGGTTTGCAAGATAATTCACGATGAGATCCAGATGCTGAAAGTTTGTTTCGATTGAGAATTTGTTGTCTGACTTGGCCCATACCTGAGCAATCTTTCCCGTCTTGCTGGCGAAGAAGCTCTCCCACGATTTCAGAAGTTCGACCGTCGAAGTTTTGTCGTCTTGAAGAGAGACAGACACCTCAAGGAAGACTGGGGCAGATACTTCAATCTCAGCCTTCGATCCTTCGGACGGATTCACGTCAGCTTGATTTAGGAAATTCATTCCTGCCATTTTAGGTCACAACAACATGGCAATGCATCGCATGGTTACCTGACGATCCCTTGTTGGTCATCCTCGTTTGTTTCATATGCTTCTCCTTCTGAGTTGCGCTGTTGAACCGGTTTCTGGGATGATCCATTGGGTCTCGATCATGAAAGTGAGTGTTGCCTCTCTTCTCCGGATGCATGGGATCAGCGTTGATAAAGACGTCCTTCGCATTCGATGGGAGCATATTTTTGGTCTTGACCATCAATTCGTTGAGAGCAGGAGAGATTTTCATTCCAGCTGGAAGATGGTAGACAGCTTCGACGCCGTTGATTGCTTCGACTCGACTCTTCATATGAAACTCCATGGCCACTACGTAAGTGTCGTAAGGGATGTACTGCAAATATTTGTCCCCGCTCGCCACTTTCAAGGCCTGCATCAGGTTTGGAGGGGAAGGATGTTGAACCCTCACCAGGTAATGACTCTTGCCAGAAGCTTCGAGGTTGAGCTCAAGATCTGTAGGGACATCTTGCACTGTAGTCCTTAGCTTCGTCTGACTGCGCTGCTGTGTGTGATGATGCAGCGCCGCCATCGGGTTATGGATCAGCAAAGGTCTGCCAGGAAGGTCCTTCACTGATATGGTGGAAGCGCGCGCTCGCTCCCCGCGGAGCGGCTCCTCATTGTGAGGTCCTCCAGTGTCTGTCTGGATGGCTGCTGTACAGCACACGACTAGCCCTAAGCATGCGATTATCCTCATCATCCTCCCTCCCCTCTCATTCTCGCCAGCGGCCATGATACGTTTCGACCTACCCCACCCTTTTCCTTTTATAGACAAAACGATGGGCCGCTCAAGTCAAGTAGGGACCTTCGATAGGCTTGGTCCTACGGGTCCTACGGCTTGCCCCTATCAGCTGGGGCATATCACCCTATTAAAGTACCCTGTCAGTGATGGCTCGGGGAAGGGGTGGAGTACAGGCCACAGTCCCGTTGTGTACCCGGAGCTCGCGGCTGCCCAGCAGCCGGGTCAGCATTAGGCAACCTGCCGTACTAATGATTGTCCTCGTACTGATTTTTAACTTAACTAAAATAAAATGAGCAAACAGAGGTGAGCACTACTACTGTGATATAATACTCATTTTTTAACTAAAATCAACAATCATTGTGGTAAAGTTGCCCACCTGGTCCAGCAGGCCCTAGTGGTGGCCATTAGCATGCCCCGGGTCAGGCTGGCGGGGCCCGGATCCGGCATGATGATGATCGCCGGGCCCGCCATGATCGGCGGCGCCCGGGCGGCCGGAGTCACTCGGCCGGCCCGTCATCGGACACTGTCAGGCCGGGCCGCGCTCAGGGTCTGAGTCCGAGTCCGCGCCCGGCCGGCCCGTACTACTACGTGACGGGTAGTACGGTCCGGCCCCCGACTCGTGCCAGTGACCACGGCGGGCCGCCGGGCCGGGCCCCGGGCCCTGAGTCGGAGGCGGGCACGCACTGACCGCCGTCCCGTCGGACTCCCGGCGGGCGGGGGCGGGGGCGGGCCGGGCCGCCGCGCCCCGGGCTGAGAGGACCCGCGCCGTCGTGTCCCGGAGTCCGGGGACAGAACTTTCACTTCGGAAGCTGCCAGGCTAGGCTGTGAGGCTTGCCACGCCGGTGACTTCCGGGCCCGGCGGCCGCTGTGGCTCCGCGGCGGCCGCCCGGCGTTACAGCACTGCGGCAGATCGGACTCTTCGACGACTCTGACGGACTTGCCGGATTTCTACCGGCCCGGGCCCGGCCGGGATGGGGACTCGCCGCCGGCCCGTGGGCGCGACAGTCACCGCCCGATCTTTCACCCGCAACTAGAGTCAGTGAGCCGGGCTCAAAACCAAAATTGAAACCCTGCCACTGTGATTTAGAGATTAGTTACGAGGACCGTTGAAGCGAACTTGGAACGGTCACGAGATCAGTGTTTGAACTTGAAGTTTCAACGCGGCGTCGGATCCGGTCGCCGTTCGCGTGATCGGACTCAGCCTGCCGCGGCCCGGCCGCCGGCAGTCAGGCTCGGCCGGGCACGCCACCGGCGTGCCGCCCGTGACAGTCACTGCCGGAGTGACCGCCCGTCTGTCAGAGCCTCGGAGGACAATCCGAGGAGCCTGGAGAGTCCGATCCGACGGTCCCCGCGACGAGGAGGCTTGAACCTGTCACTGTCGCACCGTGGGAAAAGACGGCGAGAACCAACCCTCATGCCGCAGTGCCCGGATTGCTGTCCCCCAAACTCAGTGACTAACAGTGCCCGATACAGGCTACCTCCACTCAGCCGATCGGACTACTTTACTACTGCCGGGGCTACTGGCAGTTACTAGCCCCTCCTGTCCGTCCCGATTGATTAACGGCCGTCGGTGAGGAGGGCCCCGGCAGCCGCTTAGCCTGTCGAGCACACAGAAAGGCTACCTGGTGACCGCCCGCGGCAACAGGTGAGCAAGCGATGAGTCAGCTGAGAACTCTGATTGAGATAGGTGGATTGTAAACTCAAGGAAGAGATAGACAGGTGTTATGATATGGTCAGTCGCGTCGACTAAAATCGTGTTGTTTCCCAACAAAAGCTAACATGCAGTCCATTCCAATGTTTCACTTCATTGTTACTCACTACACCTGATCCGAGGGTGTCTACAGTCCCGAATGTGTTGAGAATGTGTTGAAGCGTGTTGCAGAATGATACCGAACATGATGCTGTGTAGAATACAACTTTCTGTGATTTGCATCAAGTTACGCTCATTCCGAGCAAACAGATCTATGGAAATGGATCCAAGGGGTGCTTGAATGGAACAAGAAACTCCGAACAAGACTGCAAAACAAACTCTTCCGGTAGTTGAAGTTCTTTGCTTGTCTGATTGTTGTCTTCATCATTGAGTGTCTGATTAGGTTACAAGTTTGAATGATCTTAGCATTGAAGAAGAGGCATTACTTCTGCGGCAGTGTAGGCTGAACAAGGTATTATCCGGTGATTGGTATCGCGGTCACAATGTCTTTAATAGGTGCAGCTGGTGCGAGAACTCCTAGAGTCCAAGAGGATCAGCAACCGGTTCAAGTTCTCTAATGGAGAGACTCTGCTTATCACCGCTTGCAAGTCTGCGAGTCTGGATGTTATTCGCTTTCTGTTGGATCATGGTGTAGATGTGCATGAAGAAGACAACTATCATAACAATGCCTTGCACTGGAGCGTTCGATTGGGGTTCGACAAGATTGCAGAGTATGTCGGCCTCTTGCTGTCTTCTCAGTGACTATGAATGTTTGCAGCCTGCTCATCTCTCATGATGAGATCCAAAGGCCAAATCGATCATCTCAAAACAAAGTGAATAAACCCGCTTACAAGGCGAAATTGAAGCATCCGCAAGTTGATGGAAAGGAAGATGCAAAAAAGGCAAATCGCTTGGTGAGATTTCAATAGCAAGACGAAATTGACAATGTTTTCAGGGTACGCAGACCCACGGGCCAAGCCCATCTGATCCGGTAGTGCTTCCCAGCCTCGGGCGACCGCGACTCTTCCTAGAGTCGGTGTCAAGACCACACGATCCCCATGTAAAGTCAACGGAAGAGAGAAAGGTAGAGAGATAGTCAAAGCAAAGCGCTGCCGTTGATTCCTTCTTTGCCAGAAAAAGCTCGTCAAAGAGACCCCTTATCAGCGTATGTACCTTCAATCAGTGTATAAACGACCCCCCAAACGCCAGAAGCTGTTCGACAAGTACCGAGAGCCAAGGAGTCACAGGGAGCTGAAGAGCAAAGCTCAAGATCAAGGTGGCAACATCCTCGTCGATCTTCCCCCTCGGTCCTTACCTGTTGACTTGCAGAGGTGCGGGAAGATGAGCAAGGCGATCATGTGACATTGACCTCCCCCCGTGAGCCTCCTGATGTGATGATGGTGTTGCACAGGAAACCAGAGCAAAAAGCGAGCCCCTGGTGTCTGAAGCAAGCGACACCCCTCCTGAGCAGAAGAAGGGGCCCAAGAAGCAGCGAATACTTGACCTGTCTCAAGAAGATCCTGAGCCGGAGACAGGGCTGATCCACTTACGTAACTTCGATGCTGGTCAGGACTATCCTGCGATAGCTGTGAAAGTAATTGTTGTGATGATAACCTAGATGGCAATTACAAGCGGATCAACAGCCCCCGGTCTATAGAGGCCATGAAGCGGCTAGGAATCACCATGGAAGAACTGATGCCCATGGAGCAGAAGTTGTCTTTCTCGGAATCCAAGGATGCAGAGGTCCTCCAGAAGAAGAAGGAGATGCTGGAAGAAAGAAGAAAGCGCAACGTTGATTCCTGTATCAAAGAGAGGAAGCGACTGAAGGCCAGGTCAAAGGATGCCACCCTCAACGTCATCTTTGCTGAGTATGCTGGGATCTCCGGGGACAACACGATGAACATGAGCGAGTACCTCGACATGATGAAGTCCATGGTAGCTGCCTTGAGCAAGCTGTTGGTTACTCTGATGCCTCCCCAGGAATTGCTGCAATCTGAAACTGAACGGAAGCATGGCAAGATCTCCAAGACAGAAGCGGTGGGCATTTTCAAGCAGTTTGCAAGGAAGATAGGAGTCACGTATGAGGTCTTCAGCTCCACACCTGGATGGGAGTGAGAGATTGATGTTGTTGGCAGGTGACGTGGGAGCAGTTTGTGAAGCTAGAGAAGCATCTCTCAGGTGTGCTGGGTATCAAGAGCATCTCTAAGGCTGGGGAGCATCAGGAGACTGAGGACTCAGAGACCTCACGTGCGTTCAGCTCGCTGTGATGATGATCAGATGTCCTTGTTGACTTGCGTTCACCCTGCAGGTAAAGATGCAGTCGAGGCCGATCCTGCTGCTGTCTACATCCAAGAGGTTCGAGCGAAGCATGAGCGAGTGAACAGAACAGAGCTGAGAAGAATCGAGACCTACTTTGAGAAACTTCTCAGCCTGAAAGCGCAACATGACACGCTAGAGCAAGCGTCGCACCAAAAGGAATCAAAGATCATCAAGAACTATGAGGATAGAAAGTACACGTCAGCATTGAACCGCCTTGACCAGCAGGTACTGGGTAAATGAGCATGCTGAAAGCGATTAACGGGTGTTCCAGTTCAAATATGTTGAAAGGGTCCTTCAGCATCAGAAGATGATGGCGAAGAAGAAAGAGGAAGAAGAAGAACGATCGAGAAAGAAGCAAGAAGAAGCAAAGATGAACCTACAGAAGATGGTAAGAAACATGGCGCTTCTTTTGTTCAGCAGCTCTGATTTTGTCTCGCAGACACACGAGAGGGAGAGGAGGATGAGGATGCAAACTGAACAGCTCAAGATTAGGCAGCAGCTGAGGCAAGAGCAAATCACACAGCGAGATAGGAAGGAGGAATACAGAAGAAAGCTGCTCATGGATAAGTTGACTCGAGAGCAACTGAAACAAGAAAAAGATAGAGAGATCAAGAAATTGATTGCTCAGGAAACAGACAAGCTCAAGTCAAAATCAAGAATGGAAAAGGAGAAGTTCAACGAAGTACACTTTTGTGACAAAGAAAAAACTGTGCTCACGATGGTTCAGGTTGTTCAGAATTTCATGAAATCTGGGAAGATAGATGTTCCCAAGGGACTTTCTGTACGTCTCAACCTCATGTGATGTTTTGAAAGCCTGAATTCTCATTTGTCTTAGACTTTGGGGGATCTTGATACGATCCTTGTGCGAGAAGTGAGATGCTTGCCGCTGTTTCTCTTCATAATCTGGTCTCAGGATGCGGCTGACTGGGAGGACAAGAACGAAGCAGCAGGCCTGCTGTCGGAAGACGCGTCTGTGTCGGGGGAGATCAAGAGCGGAGAGTATGCTTACTTCAAGATCCGAGTCGAAACGCACAAGTCATGGACTTTCGCTGTCAGCTCGACTGTAAGTTGCACTTGCGTACCTGTTGCTGCTTAACAGCACGAAGGTCAACAAAGCGCTTCTGTTCATTGGGAACAAGAACATTCCCTTCCCAACCAAAGAGAATCATACCTGGAATGCTTCTAACAAAGACAAGGTGGATCACCCTAACTAGTTTCTCTGGCAACTGAGTCTGTGAGTCTGTCTCAGGTCACTATCTTTCACCTCGACAAGAGGTACACGTTGGGGTATTGGTACGTCTCGCTGCTGGCACAAGGAGGCGACAGCACGTTCTCGCTGTCATGCAGTAGCGTTGAACCTCTCGAGGGAGAGGCTCGCGATGACTCGAAGCGTCAGGAGAGCTTGTCGCATGTGAGCTCAAGACCCCTTGAAGCTTCCCAGCTGACACTCAGCAGGTTCATAACCGGGTGAGGGTGAAGATCAATGAGATGCGAGAGAAGAGGTTGTCTCAGATGGACTCTGATTTCATTAGCAAGTTCGAGGAGCTCTTTCCTCAAACTTAGCAGCTCTACACCAGCTCTGCGATGATGTGCTGAAACAGCAAGATAGGGGTTAATCGCAGATAGCCTCTGTCTGGCTGAGCCATGTTTCATAGTGAGGTAGCAGAAGGACTGCTGTAATTCCTTCTGATTCTCCATCCTTAAGATTTCAAAAAAGTGATATGATGATGGGGAGGAAGACAATAACAACATCAGCTTTCATGCCTGCTGCTGCTTCTTCTTTTCCTGTTTCAATGCGCACTTTGATTGCTGACTATGTTCAACTTCACCACTGCGCGAGTAGATTGTGCTCTCAAGTCTTGATCAATAATCACTTGATTCCCTGCATTTTGAAATTGACGACAACGTTGATCAATCCTGCCACTTACTGAAGTTGGTGATGTCAGCGCACAGACCAGAAAAGTTTTTCTTCCGGTAGGTGACACAAAACATCTCAGTTGAACGGACTGATAGATAGAAGACATAGTGAGAGTAAGAGGTTGAGATTTCACTTTAACTATCAGCTATACAGGGCTAGTCCGAGTTTGACTTACACGTGCGGGCGGGCATGGAGGGGCAGAACCTTGGAGGACCGTGAGAGGCCGGGGCGACGAACTCCCGCATTGTTTGTCAGCAGACGAACGCCTCCTCCAGCAACTGCCGAGCTCATGTTGTTCCTCATCATACCAGCCTTGGGTGGCAACGACGCAACGACAGCTCCAGAGTACTGAGAAGTAGCAGGAGGACAGAGGGCTGCCTTGGGTTTCGACTGCTGCACCACGCTCTGAGGGGAGTACGTGTCAACGGGAGACGCTGCAAGGCAACATGAACGAGACATACTTGAGCTTGAGGTGCTTGAACTTGAGGTACTTGAACTTGAGGTTGTACTGAGTTCTGCTGCATCGGCGGTACAGGCTTGTTTTCCTTGGAAGCAGCTGAGGAGGCGAACACGTAAGGGGAAGGGGCTGAAAGGGTCGGAAGCACCGACCTCCATTGTTAAGAGCCGTCTTACAAGGTCTTCCAGGTCGAGGTCTACTCGCAGCATCGTTGCGTTTGGGCACGTTCCTATCAAGTCGGGTCAGTTGACAGCAAGTCAACAACGAATGTTACCTTGTAATCTGCTGTTTTGCTTTCGGTTGTGCCTTCTTGCTCTTCAAATCTTCATCGCTAGACATCTCATAGTCGTCTTCCGACGCCTCCTCCTCCTCCTCCTCCTCCTCCTCTTCCGTCGCGTCCTCTTCGCTAGATTCATCAATTGATTCTTTTGCTCGAGGTCTCTTGGCTACTTTCGGGTTAGAAACATCATGTTCGCTTGTTCTCACGGCTGGCGGCTCTTTGAGCAGAGCATCTACATTGCAGTCAGCAGGGAGCAAGAGAGGATGAATACGATATCGGTTCACCGTTTGCAACATGTACATCGGACTCGACTGGACTCTCGTCTTCTTCTGAGTCAGGGATGGTGTCTCCCGTCTCATCAGCCACATGGTTCGGCTGATCGATGCCAGCTGCTGCAACCTGCTTGTTGCATGCAGCGTTGGGCGCTGCTGTCCTACCGGCATCCTCGGCCTCCTTGTCTTCACTTTGCGACGCTTGTTGCCTTTCGAACTCTTGCCGAGAGAGCTCAAGGGCCTTCTGAAGGTCAGTATCAGCGCTAGGCGCTCGCGATCTCCTCTTCTTCTGTTCGCAACTATAAATCAGCATGCCATCACGATCAAGACATGTGTGTTGCTTCACCGCCGATCCTGTCGTCGGTGAGTTGCCGCTGCTCCGAGGGCTTGAACAGTGCGTCAAGAGCCTTACAACAAGAGCGAGCTTGACGATGCTGACCTCATGGACTTGCGCTGTGAGATCATCTCAGCATACGATGATCCTGAAGCTTCTGACGTCCCAGCCTCCCATCCCTCACATCCTTTCTTCAAACTGAAATCATCCGAAAGATCAACGCCCAACAAAGAACCTTACGAGTATGCTCGTACCTCAAGTTCTTTCGCCTTTTGGAGTTAGCATTGGCATCCATATCTTTCAATTGTTACAAACGTATTGAAGAACTGAGAAAGAAAGAACTACGGCATTGTCAAAACGACCTCAAACATCATTTCATATCGATGCCGTACAAGGCCACACGCGATTTCAAGCAATTCTGACTGTGACTTCCTCATAATGCCTGATCCAACGGATGGACATACTTGTTTTCTTCGCCTATCCCGCATCTTATTGTCTTCCTGTCTCTTCGCCCCCCCCCCCCCC